GTGGTAACCTAGGTTACCATGGTTGTGGTAACCTAGGTTACCATGGTGTGGTAACCTAGGTTACCATGGTTGTGGTTCTAGGTTACGATGTTGTGGTACCAGGTAACCACAGTTGAGTTACTAAGGTTACCATGGTTGTGGTAAACTAGTTACCATGGTTGTGGTAACCTAGGTTACCATGGTTGTGGTAACCTAGGTTACCATGGTTGTGGTAACCTAGGTAACCATGGTTGTGGTTACCTAGGTTACCATGGTTGTGGTAAACTAGGTTACCATGGTTGTGGTAACCTAGGTTACCATGGTTGTGGTTACCTAGGTTACTCATGGTTGTGGTAACCTAGGTTACCATGGTTGTGGTAACCTAGGTTACCATTGTTGTGGTTTTCTAGGTTACGATTGTTGTGGTTACCGAGGTAACCACAGTTGAGTTTACTAAGGTTACCATGGTTGTGGTAACCTAGGTTACCATGGTTATGTAATCTAGGATACCATGGTTGTGGTCATCTAGGTTACCATGGTTGTGGTAACCTAGGTTACATGGTTGTGGTTACCTAGGTTACCATGGTTGTGGTAAACTAGATTACCATGGTTGTGGTAACCTAGGTTACCATGGTTGTGGTAACCTAGGTTACCATGGTGGTGGTAACCTAGGTTACCATGGTGTGCTACCAAGGTAACACAGTGAGTTTACTAAGGTTACCATGGTTGTGGTAACCTAGGTTACCATGGTTATGGTAACCTAGGTAACCGTGGTTGTGATAACCCAGGTTACCGTAGTTGTAGAAACCTAGGTTACCATAATTGTGGCTACCTAGGTTACCATGGTTGTGGTAACCTAGGTTATCATGGTTGTGGTTATCTAGGTTACCATGAATTTTGTCAGCAATCAGAATATATGGTCAAATTGCCGATTTGTGTGATTTAACTGGTCAAAATTTAAAAAAAAACCAAAATTTCGACCTAGCTCAATATTTTTAAAAAACTGAATTTTATTCCAAAAATACCACTCCAATATGGCTGTACTGTGGCTTAAAAGATTCACAAATGTCTCAGCTTGCCTTTTAACCTATACATGTGTGTTGATAGTACAAAAATTTTTATATAAGAAGAAGAACCTAAGTTTACCCAAGGTATGTCCAACACAAAAACACACTAAAACCTACATAAATTCTACATTTCTGCACTAAATTCGCTCAATCCTAGACTAAACTCAAGAGAATTTTGTCAGCATTCAGAATATATGGTCAAATTGCCGATTTGAGTGATTTAAATGGTCGAAATGATGAAAAAACCAAAATTTCGACCTAGGTCAAAATTTTCAAAAAACTGAATTTTTTTCCAAAAATACCTCATCCAATATGGCTCTACTGTGGCTTAAAAGATTCACAAATGACTCAGCTTGCCTTTTAACCTATACATATGTGTTGATTGTACATATATTTGTGTATAGGAAGAAAAACCTAGGTTTACCCAAGGTATGAACAACACAAAAACACACTAAAACCTACATAAATTCTACATTTCTGCACCAAATTCGCTCAAACCTAGACTAAACTCAAGAGAATTTTGTCAGCATTCAGAATATATGGTCAAATTGCCGATTTGAGTGATTTAAATGGTCGAAATGATGAAAAACCAAAATTTCGACCTAGCTCAAAATTTTCAAAAAACTGTTTTTTTTTCAAAAATATCCCACTAATTGGGCTGTACTATGAAGAACCATGGTTGTGGTTACCTAAGTTACTATGGTTGTAGTTAATAAGGTTACTACAGTTGTGGTTACTGAGGTTACCATGATTGTGGTAACCCAGGTTATCATGGATGTGGTTTTCTAGGTTACGATTGTTGTGGTTACCGAGGTAACCACAGTTGAGTTTACTAAGGTTACCATGGTTGTGGTTATCTAGGTTACCATGGTTGTGGTAACCTAGGTTACCAGGGTTGTGGTAACCTAGGTTACTATGGTGGTGGTAACCTAGGTTACCATGGTTGTGGTAACCTAGATTACCATGGTTGTGGTAACCTAAGTAACCATGGTTGTGATAACCAGGTTACCGTGGTTGTAGAAACCTAGGTTACCATGGTTGTGGCTACCTAGGTTACCATGGTTGTGGTAACCTAGGTTACCATGGTTGTGGTAACCTAGGTTACCATGGTTGTGGTAACCTAGGTTACCATGGTTGTGGTAACCTAGGTTACCATGGTTGTGGCTACCTAGGTTACCATGGTGTTGGTAACCTAGGTTACCATGGTTGTGGTAACCTAGGTTATCATGGTTGTGGTTATCTAGGTTACCATGAATTTTGTCAGCAATCAGAATATATGGTCAAATTGCCGATTTGTGTAATTTAATGGTCAAATAAAAAACCAAAATTTCGACCTAGCTCAAAATTTTCAAAAAACTGAATTTTATTCCAAAAATACCACTCCAATATGGCTCTACTGTGGCTTAAAAGATTCACAAATGACTCAGCTTGCCTTTTAACCTATACATATGTGTTGATTGTACATATATTTGTGTATAGGAAGAAAAACCTAGGTTTACCCAAGGTATACACAACACAAAAACACACTAAACCTACATAAATTCTACATTTCTGCACCAAATTCGCTCAAACCTAGACCAAACTCAAGAGAATTTGGTCAGCAGTCAGAATATATGGTCACTTTATATATGGTAACTTTGGCCTCATGCTTGACCTTGACCTCTAACTCGACCCCGACCTTGACCTCTAACTCGACCTTGACTTTGACCTCTATCTCGACTTTGGCCTCATTCTAGACCTTGACCTCTAACTCGACCTTGTTTTTGACCTCTTCTCCGATTTTGACGTCGTTCTTGACCTTGACCACTAACTCGACATTGACTTTGACCTCGACCTCGACTTTGACCTCTTTCTTGACCTCGACTACATTCTTGACCTTGACTTTGACCTCTTCTTTAACCTTGGCATTGACCTCGACCACTTCCCTAACCTTGACTTTGACCTCGAACTCAGCCTTTACCTTGACTTAGACCTCTTCCTTAACCTTGACATTGACCTCGACCTCTTCCTTAACCTTGAATTTGACCTTGACTTTGACCTCTATCTCGACTTTGGCCTCATTTTTTGACCTTGACCTCTTCCTTAACCTTGACTTTGACCTCAAACTTAGCCTTGACCTTGACCTCTATCTTGAATTTGACCTTGACCTCTAACTCGACATTGACTTTGACCTCTACCTCTTTGACTCTCTTCACCTTGACTTCATCTTTAACATTGACCTCGACCTGGTTTTTGACCTGTACCCCGATTTTGACCTCATTCTTGATTTTGACATCCACTCCGATTTTGACCTCATTCTTCACCTTGACTTCATCCTCAACATTGACCTCGACCTCGACTTTGACCTCTACCTTGACCTCAACCACATTCTTGACCTTGCATTAATCCTTGACCTCTTCCATAACCTTGACTTTCACTTTGAGATACTTCCCTAACCTTGACTTTGACCTCGAACTCAGCCTTGACCTTGACTTACCTGACGCCTCATTCTTGACCTTGACCTCTCACTCGACCTTGACTTTGACCTCTTCCCCGATTTTGACCTCATTTTTCACCTTGACTTCATCCTCAACATTGACCTCGACCTCGACTTTGACCTCTTTCTTGACCTCGACCACATTCTTGAACTTGACTTTATCCTTGACCTCTTCCTTTACCTTGATTTTGACCTTGAACTACACCTTGACCTTTACTTTGACCTCTTTCTGAACCTTGACATTGACCTCGACCTCTTCCTTAACCTTGATTTTGACCTCGAACTCAGCCTTGACCTTGACTTTGACCTCTATCCCGACTTTGACCTCATTCTTGGCCTTTAACTTTAACTCGACCTTGACTTTGACCTCTACCCTGACTTTGACCTCATTCTTCACCTTGACTTCATCTTTAACATTGACCTCGACCTGGTTTTTGACCTCTACCCCGATTTTGACCTCATTCTTGATTTTGACCTCTACCCCGATTTTGACCTCATTCTTCACCTTGACTTCATCCTCAACATAGACCTTGACCTTGACTTTGACCTCTTTCTCAATTTTGACCTCATTCTTGACCTCGACCTCTACTTCTACCTCGACTTTGAACTCATATATGACCTTATCCTTAACAATGACTTCGACTTTGACCTCATTCTTAAAATTGCCCATTTAGACCCAGCTCAAAAATTTCGAAAAAACTGAATTTTTTCCAAAAATATCCCACTAATTGGGCTGTACTATGAAGAACCATGGTTGTGGTTACCTAGGTTACTATGGTTGTGGTAAATAAGGTTACCACAGTTGTGGTTACTAAGGTTCCCATGATTGCGGTTACCTAGGTTTCCATAGTTGTGGTTATCTAGGTTACCAAGGTTGCGGTTATCTAGGTTACCATGAATGTGGTTACCTAGGTTACCATAGTTGTGGTTATCTAGGCTACCATGGTTGTGGTTACTGAGGTTACCATGATTGTGGTTACCTAGGTTACCATAATTGTGGATATCTAGGTTACTATGGTTGTGGTTATCTAGGTTACCATGGTTGTGGATATCTAGGTTACCATGGTTGTGGTTACTTAGGTTACCATGGTTGTACTGTGGCTTAAAAGATTCACAAATGTCTCAGGTTGCCTTTTAATCGACAAGTAATTTCTAAACATATTTTAAACATGCACAATAATAAAAAAATGGGATGTAGTTTGTATTTAATTTTTTGTGCTGTTTAACTAAATGTTATGCAATGTGTTATATCATATTATATTATTTAAAAAAAGAATATTGTGTTTATATAAGTGAAATAAACTCGCTTTCTTCGCCAACGACCATACCACGTTGAATACACCAGTTCTCGTCCGATCACTGAAGTGATCACTGTGCGGCCGGCTTCCGCGCGTCAGTCTGGACCCAGACCAAGCAATCGGTTACGATGTCATTATTATTTAAAATGTTTAAAATTATTATATTTATGTAAAATGTGTATTATTCCGTAATCATGAGCCACTGTATAAGATTCAAATAAAAAACTCTGTTCTTATCAGCTTAACATCTGATACACCTCACATCGTGGGGTTAAACTAATTTTTTCAAATTGGTGGAGAATTTGGGGCTTGCTCCTACTGCACCGCGGGTTGACCCGGTATTGCAGTACCACCGGGAACGGCCCAAATAAACGACCAATAATTTTTATTATATAAATTATAATTGATCATTACAAAATGCGAAAAACCAAAAGTATTTTGGAAAAACCCAAAATTATTTAGCAAAATTCTAAATTATATAGGACAACTCTAAAATAGTTGGATTTGTTCAAAATAAAAAGGACAACTCTAAAATAGTTAGATTTGTTCAAAATACTTTTGGACAACTCAAAAATATTATGAAAGAGTCAAAATCCATAAAATAATTGCAGCTACAGGCGTTGTACATTTAATGGTTTTTGATAACTGTAAATTGTTTCGTTTTCCAAAATAAATGTAGTCTTGTCGATGAATATGTTTAAATCGCAGTATAATATTTTGTTCTAGACTACAAAAATGTTTTGTTTAACACAGTACTGTAGTAACTAAATTTGAAATAACAGCTGTCGTTAGTTTTCAAAATTATCGTCACATGCTTATGCAGCAGCAGCCTAAAAATATAAGAACAAATGACTTCCAGTTATTTTGAAAATGAAAAAGTGACGCCATGGAAATCAATATAATATAAAATACACACATGACACACTTATTTAAAAACGAATCCTTACAGCCGACATTTACTTTTGTAAAATTGAATTCAACTTCAAAAAAATTGTAATCACTTAATATGCTTACATGTAGTGTACGTCGTCGAAAATTCGAAATGCTCCCTAGGTAAACATTTAAAATTTCAGATTTAATAATTACTTTATTTATTTGTTGCATTGCAGTATGATGTAACTTGTTCAATAATTGTATCATAATATACTTTGCCATGATTCTTAATAATCAAATCTCAAAATTGTTTCATCAATACATTGTTCAACACATCAGTATGCCCATTTATCTACAAATAATGTATTAAGCAAATTATTTTAAGCGTGCATAATATAATATTAATGTGATTTAGTTTGTATTGTGAAATTTTATTTTATTTTTTGCGCTGTGGAAACTAAATTGTACGCAGCGTGTTTAGAATCGTGTAATATTAAAAAACAATAGCTATAGTATTGTGTTTAAATAAGTAAAACAAACACAATTCATCCGCCAACGACCATACCACGTTGAATACACCAGTTCTCGTCCGATCACTGAAGTTAAGCAACGTCGGGCGTAGTTAGTACTTGGATGGGTGACCGCTTGGGAACACTACGTGCCGTTGGCATTTTTTTGTCTTTTTTTTCAAAATTATTCACTTAATTATATTGTTAATTATGATTTTTAATTATTGTCGGTACAACAATTGGAACAAATATATTGCTATTGATGTATTTTAAGAACAATCTTTAATTTTATTTGCCTTTGCCAAGTTCCAAACTGGTTTCAAAGTTGTTTGAAACTTTGGAGGCCATTAAAAAAATTCTACAAAACATATACACATATTTTGGGTTTCGTTCCAAAAAAAATATGCGAAATATTGTTGTAGAAATAAATGCAATTTAACTTAATTTCGCAGACAAATAATAGAACTGACAAAAATTGAGAAATAATGAAATAAAAGACGGAAATTAAACAAAAAGCATTAGAACGTAACAATAAATTTATTATTTACATTTCTTTAGTCATTAAAATAAAAATAAAATTATAAGCTCTCGTTGTGTTCAGTCAGTACAACTTCATCTACGTCCATCGCTTCCATTTCGTCTTTAATTTCGTCCTTCGATTCGGTAGTTTGTATGCTAGCAATTCTTTGGACTACCATGCTTGTGTATTTGTTAAAATCGCATCTAAGAAAAAAATTTTTAAAAATTAATATTGCATCGTTTTAGGCTTGTTGACCAAATTTTGGTTTTAAAGACAGACTCTTGGACAATATTTATTAGCTTAGCAATTTACAAAAAGAATAATTTGTTTTACTTACACTTTAGATAAATCTGTATATCTCTTTGTTAAATTTTTGTGTAACATTAAAATAACAGTTGGATGAGGTTGGTGGGAGTTTATTAACGACTTTATCCAGCGGACATAAAATTCTATGTGTTGTGTAGTTCCAGTCGAAATGGCTACATGTTTTAACATTTTTTCTATGTACAGCTTAGGCAACGAAAGAACCGTTAAATCGACTGTAATTTTAATAAATATTAAACACACATTATATAAAATAAATTGTTATTCTTATATAACTCTTTTGGTACTCACTATCTTTTGTGGGTACAGACTCGAGCACTTCGGTAATTAGCTCGGGTTCGTTTAGGCGTAACGCCATCATCAGTGCTGCAAAATTTTAACTAATATTAATAACGTCATTGATATTCAAAATATAAATTTTACTTTTTTTATAAATTAGATTAAGCAAACAACAGAAAATGAGCCACATTTTTAATAGGTAGGAACACTGGTTTTCGACCTGTTTAAATACAAGTGGTCATTACCGTCAAACAAGATGCTGATAAGCGACGACAATAGCATACCACAAGTCATGTTAGACTAAGTATTTTTTATTTTTTGATAATTTGTAAGATAATGTGTCAATTAAATTTACCGGTTGCGTATTCTTTTTCAGATAATTTTTCTTTAGTTGCAGTCGGCGTAATACCGATTTCCAGTTGGAATGGATCGAACACAAAACCACTGTCAAGAGAGTACACCAAAACACCTTCTGTGGTCGCCGCAGCCCATGATAATCCTTATGTCGTAAAAAAAATTACATATAAATTATAAATTCCACTTTTTTGTTTTGTTTTAAATCTTCAAAATACCTGTAGGAGAAAACTTAACGTCAAAGACGTTGATCTCAGGTTTGAATGTCCTCGCTGCTAAATCACCTTTGTGCACACCAGGTAGTTTCAATTTTACGTTTCCGCCTTCTCTCGATTCTCTCTGTTCGACTAAATCTTTGTTTCCAAATTCCGTCATTTTACGCCGATTGATAATGTCCTACCAAAAAGCAGTACCAATCGAATAAAATCAAAAAGTTAAATTGGTCTGTTAAATTAAATATGTACTTACGAGTACAGCATCGAATGACTGGTTTTGCGTAATGACAAACTTCTTAATGAGAATCGCTTCGGCGACATTATAAATACAAACATTTTTTGATTGGCCGCCAGCTATAACAAATTGTCCATCGGCCGAATAACAAACAGAATTGAAAGCTCTGGAGGAATAAAACAGTTATAACAATTATTATAATACAATCAATTAGTAAGGTAATGAGTATATACTTTGCTTGGAGATTTTTTTTTGCCGTTATGAGATCGGTATCACTTCGGCCACTACCCAAGTCGTTTCTACCTTCAATGCTTCCTATTTGAGTCGCTGTTCGAACGTCAAAGAACAACAATTGGCCATCCAGCGTGGCCACTACTACTTCTTTGCCGTCAGGGCGAAAAGTGACACATAAACCTGAACGGTAATATGCAATTAGCATCGATATAATGTAATAAAAATGAACTGATTAAAATTACCGTCAGCAAATAACTGTATAGTTTCGTGGTCTGAAGCATTTTCAACTGCGTTCCAAATACGTAATGTTTTATCCCAACTCGCTGATACTAAAGTAGTACTGGACATCGTAGGACTAAATGCCAAACTTACTATAGGACCTTCGTGACCGGTTAAAACCTATAAAAGCATTTTGTAACTTCTTCAAGTACACATTTATGATAATATAAATTAATTACTTCTAAAAGTCTGCCAATTTTCATTGACCAGAGATAAGCCTCAAACACATCTTGTCCACCAGCGGCTACAAACTCTGCAGTAGAATCAATGGCTAAACAAGCAAACTGCACTGGTCGCGGTGATACAAACGTTCTGAAGTTACGATATCTGCACAAAAATTGTTGGATGAAATCAAAACTGTTACGATAAAATTATAAATAAATATTTTACCTGACTAAATCAAAAGCTCTCACGGTACCGTCCAACGATGCGGACACAATAAATTTTTTATTTAATGAAAATACGACATCTGTAATCGAACTTGTATGTTCGGAAAACGTTACAATGCAAAATCCTGTTTGAGTATTCCACAATTTCACCTTTTTAAAAATTAACATTTGATCATTAAACAAAATGGCCCATTTATATTCTCGTTATTCAAAAAAAGTTGTATTTAATGATATAGACAATGTATGGAAAGATTACGTTAAATAATAAACACATTATTTTATCACATAGTTCATAAACAATTTATGAGTAGATAATAAATTTTAAATTACCGAAAATAGTAATTAATTGTTTTATTTTTTTATGTAGAAAATATTATGTAGTTTAAAAGAGTTATCACAATTCATTTTTATTTTATAATGCACAATTTTATTTGAATTTATTAAGTTTTTTATCGGTTTAAAATTGTAAACAAATAATATAATCCTCCGTTGGAAAAAAATTTTAATATTTCAAAATAAATTTGTAATATATTTTTTTTTATCAGAAATTTAATGTCTCATAAATATCGATTACAAATGTTGTCAATAAATTAATAAACTCCTCCATTTTGTAACAGACTGAGGATCCGTTCCTAACAACCAATCGGTTCAGTTAAAATAAACAAATGTATACTTTTCCGTCTTCACCGCCGGTAACAATGTACATCGAATCTGGCGAGTATGTCAAGGACGATATTTCGGAACCGTGAGCTTGTTGTTTCATAACGTACGTTTCACTTTGCCATTCCCACACCAACAGTTGACCGTGCCCTTCACAGCCTAACGCGACCCAATCACCGGATTCGTTCAACGCTATCGTACTGATACTGGTGTCTGAAATACTGAAAATGCATAACAATAGTAGTACCTGCTATAAAGAAAATATAGAAGACAAAATGAAATTACTAAAAAACTTACTTCAACGAATGAATAAGAGATATTCCAACGGTTTCGAAAATTAAAAATGATCCGTTGTTAAAGCCAGTTATGAGCACTTTCGTTTTTTTATGATAATCAGCTGCGGTCAATTTTAAATTACTATGTTCTTCTTTTAAATGGTCGTTAAGATAATGCCGTGACAATTTCGATAACTTATTAATTCATTTTCGTTCCTGTTTAGTGTTTGGTGGTTTTTCAGTTTTCCTGCAATTCATACAAAGAAATATTGTTATTAACGACGCTCTTTTCAAAAAAAAATATGAAACATAACTCAGTTTGACCTAAGGACGCTGTTCTTGTTTAAAAACTGCTTTCTTGGGACGATCCTATGTGGTTCATAGTATCAAATAGCAATTAAAGTATTTAATTCATACCTTCTCGCTCGGTTACAAAACGCTCTTGATCTTCTCCTTTGGATATATCAATATCGTCCTCACTATCTTCATCCGTTTTTGATTTTTTACACAATTTTAATTGGCTTTCGTCAGTTAACTCTTCCAAGTCCAACGAACAGTGCCATAATGTTAAATGGCCATTCCTGGATTAAAACCAAAAGCATTAAATCCTGATAGTAAATTATTATTAAATTTTAGTCTCGCATACCTGCTGAGCGCCATTAGGTCTAGAGAATGTTGTTCAAAAAATACGCTCACAATCGAGTCCGTATGTCCCGTTAGCGAATAAGGACGAAAATTATGGTAATTTTCTAATGTGTACAACCTGACTGTGGCGTCTTTGCTGCCCACCGCAAATATACTTGAAGGGGAAAAAAGTTTTTACATTTAGATATGTAAGTATTATGTATTTATTTTTATATATTAGTAATATTAAATATTATATAAATAAAATATAAAAAATATAATGGGTATGTGTTTATATAATATTAAATAAAATATATATATATATATATATTTAATGCAATATTATATCTCTTGGGTATTTTCCTTACCGGGAGTCGTCGGTCCATGCGACAAAGGTTGTATCGCCAAGTAAATCGCTGAAGACGCGTTCCAACGCAAACTGATTAAACTGGCCAATGAAGTGACCCGGCGTTTGCAGTATGAAAACTAAAATAAAAATTGGTTTTACTTGAATGCAAACGACGTAATAGACTTTTCGAAATACCTTTATTCAGTTTACAAGCGGCTATATGTTTTCCATTGGGACTGAATTTTATGTGAAGTACTTTATCGTTAAAACGATACTTGTGGATAACTCTATTGCTAATTAAGCTAATCAAATCTGCTTCTCCGACTGAAAAAAAAAATGCCAAAATTGTAACCACAGATACTTTCAAACCCTTCAATAATAATTACCTTCGTTGACGGCAAACAAGAGAGTTCCGTCTGGAGATACAGCGATCTGCTCATAATTGTGTGAACTCTCTACTGGTAAGGTAGACGACAAATTGCTAGTTAATACAATAAACAAAAAAATTTGAGTATGAGAAATAAAATAAGTATTTAGTCGTCAACCATGAGGGACAGCTTACTTTTTTAAATCGTACTTGGATATACGATTTCCGACTGGACTTACAACAGAATTACCATCTGGTGAAAACGTTATATTTCCTTTTCTATACACCGTTCCCAGGACATTGGAAAACTAACAAAACATTTACAAAACTTATAAATAAACAAATTTTCTATGTATTATTTCACTTGCAATAAAATACCTGATAATTAAATCTCATTTTGTATAAATTGTAATATCTATAAACCACTACACTTTACCGTAAAATAATATAAATAATGCAAGCGGAATTCAAATTTAATATTTATTATTTTACATAAAAATAATAATAATACAACATGGTTCAAAACACGTGTGTAGCGGTGTGGACTGTTAAATGTTCAATGATAAGAATAATCGAGATCGAATGAAATAATCGATTATCGAAATATTCGGTTAATCGATTATTATAATGTCTGCACAAGTTACAAAATACAATAAGTGAGATTACTTAATATTGAAAATTATTTTAAAAATGTAACATGTATTTAACTTGGTTGTTTAATTTAGCTAATGAAAGTAAAATATCGCACAATAGTTGTAGTACCTTTGTGTTTTATTTTTTTAATTCTTTTAACTAGGTATAATAAGGACCTTAGTAGGTACATAATTTTACCATTGAATTAATACAAATTTGTTTTTATTCAATGATTTTACTTATAAGTTCCACTGTAGAGGAATAATTATAATTGACATTTGTATTTGTATACAAATTATCTGTTATGTTTGAAAAATTAAGTGAAAACCATAAAATAATTTTCAAGCCTAGTCTTCTGATTTTAGTTTATTTCAAAATCAATATTGAACAACTTACTATTGAATTTCAAAACAACTATTATTCGTAATGCTGCACAAATTCCGATTTCCAACAATTTATTCTACACAATGATAACACGATTTTTGGAATAAGAACCTAAGTAAATGTATTTTTTTCTGAACCCGAATATATTCTCAAGTTTGCTGCTCAGTCAGTCATTATTATCGATTATTATATTTTATTCGACAATCGGTTAATAACGTTAAGATTAAGCGTAAGCGTTATCACATTTCGCCATTGTTATCAGTAAAATTTAAGCATTTTACATTTTAATATTATGAGTTATTTGGCATTACAAAATTATTTTTCTTAATTATTACCAATAATTTATAAAACAACAATTACTAATAATAAATTGTTTTTTTTAATTTTAAGGCATTGTAAAAAAAACCTTAGTGAAGAAACCTCCCACTAAGAGTGAAGACAGCGAAGCTCTTAAAAATGGGTTGTTTAAGTAAAGGCATTTTTTTTAGTATATATTTATTTTATGTGATATCGTCTTAGATTAGATTTAAGATCACATCGGGTTTAATTAATCACCACTAACTGCTAAATCTAGAATTTGGAAAAAAAAAGTAGCATTTTTTAAACCGGCCAAATGTAAAAACGAGCGTTGTATAAACATGTATTGGAAAAAAAAAAATGTATTTTTCGTCTGCTCTGCCGATGGTTTGTAAATATGGTGGAAATTCTGGACATACCGCGTTATTGAATTAAGTTAAAATCAAAAATTGTTTACATAAATATAATATATTTATAAAATAGTGGTCATATTACAGTATAAAAATAAATAATACAAGTATAATTTATCATGACACACAATTCATAATTATTCATATCTTTAAGTACGTCTAAAACAATCAGTACATTTTTATAATAAGTCTTAATTCTTATAAGTTTAAAATGATGACAAAAAAAAAAAAATTTAGTTAACCAGTGAGATTACATATTATTAAGATGTATAAATGTATACAATTTTTTAACCAAGATAAAAAAAAAAAAAAAAAACATCAATGTATAATGCACAAATGACAACAGGACTACAGTTAAATTTGAATACAACAGCAATAATTAATTGGTGTAACAAAATAGTATAATTTGTGACATATGGAAACAATTAAAAATAGTTATCAGTATGAAAATCATGTACAGTATTATAACCGTATCTTGTTGATTAAAAGTGTACTCTTATAAATAATGTGACAGCAGTGATAATATCAGATTAATTACAAAACAATTTTGTACATGACATAATACTAATTATTAATTACTAGTTAGTCATTTACATTGAATGTAATTAAATAATTATCGTAAATCCAAACAGTCAATCATTTGGTTTTAGTACAAACTTTAGAAAAAGTCATAATAATAAGTCAGTTTTGAACAAATCGAGAAATAAAAATAATAATAGAGATTTTTAGTTATTGTATAAAAATTGTTTTCCTTAAATATTATTACACGTTCTATCTATGTATTAATATAAAAGTAGGGTAACTAAAACAATAATTTAGGATTTTTTGAATTTTAATAAAAATAAAATAAAAAATGTCTTAGTACAAAATATATCGCGTTCTCTATTTATAATTATGAGTCTAAAAACTAAAAGTTGATTATGATTAAATGCTGTAGGTATCTTTTACGGTGTTTATTTAAGGCGTCTGTTGTTGAATTTGGGCTTGCATTTTAGCAATTACGTCTTGCATACGTTTTAATTCGGCTTCTTTTTCTTGCAGAATTCGATCTTTTTCGTTTCCGGCATTCTTTTCGTGGTCAGGAAGCGAACTGAAAAAAATAGCAGTTTTTTTTTTTAATATCATTTAGGCAATATTATTGAGTGATCCGATATATCATATATTTCTAATTCTATAAACATACGTAGTTCTCTTTGGCACTGGTATCCCCTTGGCCAAACGTTCCGAGCGATAGTTTTCATAATGCACTTCTTGAGTTACTTCCTGGAGATCTTGCATATGAGTGCTGGAGGAAAAAAAGGACTGGCATGATTATTATTACTCTTGTTATAATGTTATGATTATTAAGCACTTAAATTATTTTCGAGCTATTAATGTATATATATAATAACAAACAAATTTTGATTTGTCAAGAAAGCTGACGTTTAATTATTTAGATAACTTAACTTGATTATTGTTTATAGAAGTACTGGGTTTAAAATATCGAGCCGTCAATTATTATTATAAATTTTAATTACAATACTTACATGAGCATGGTACGTAATTTGATGAAGTCGCAATGATCTGGATTTTCAACTTCAACGACGCCCCACGGATAAAATCTACCTCGAACTTTTTTACCACGAACTTCTAAAAGTTGATTGGCCCCGCAAACTGCAAACGGCACTGCCTCTTTTAACTGTTTTACCTGTAAAACAATATCAACAGAATTTCATTTAGAAAAATAGGACTAATCGTTTTTTAAAATAATCTATACTTGTTCTTTGTAATCTTCATCTTCATCACTATCACAATCGGGCAGAGGATAAATTTTAATACCATTTACTTCTATTTCTTGCAAGATCTATAATAAAAAAATATCAAAGTCATTAAAAAATATACTAACAGTTACACAAGAGATGATTCAAATGATAAACCTTAGTCTTCAACTTTTGTATCTCTTTTTTGGTGAGGACATCAGACTTGGCAATAACTGGTACTATATTAACTTTGTTATGCAATTTTTTCATTAATTCTATATCTAATGGTTTTAATCTGAAAAAAAAAAAATATGAAAATCATATAATCGTATTTTAAACTGTTCTCGTAAATATTTTTCTTAATATTTTACATACCCGTGACCAAACGGAGAAACAAAATAGAAGCAACAATGAACACGGTTGTCAATTATGTGTCGTCGATTCAAACCACTTTCGTCTTTCAAAAATCGTTCATACTGTTCATCGATGTAATGAATAATTGCACGGAAACTAAATGGGCATTTAATTAATAATAATAATCAAATAATTGATATCTCAGTAATATAATATTCTACTTACTTATCTGAATTGTCTATAGCATCACCAAATCCAGGTGTATCGACTACGGTCAGCCGTAATTTAACACCGCGCTCTTCGATTTCTACAGTCGACGCATCCAACTTAACTGTCTGTTTGGTTTTTGCTAATATACAAACGTAATATAGAATATGTAATTTTAAGCTACACTAATATTGTTTATAATTATAATTATTACCAACAGCGTCCGGAATGTTACGCTCTGGATACAAGTCCGTTAAGAACAAACTGTTGACTAACGTCGATTTGCCGAGTCCTGATTCGCCAACGACCATTAGTGTGAATTCGAATCCTTTTTTAACCGACTTGCGATGCACTTGATTGGGCAAATTGGCAAAACCGACAAACCCTGGAGTTTCGACGCTGTTGAACTTTGAAGGGAAAAAAAACAAGGCAAAATAAATGATAAGTATTATAATTTTTTGTCGTCAGCATCATCCGTTGAATTTTAACTCTTGTTGTTTTTCATTAAAATAATCGTAATGATATAAATATATAGATTTTTTCTTACCGATTTAATCGAGTCGCTTGACATTTTGAAATATTGCAGTTTTTTTTTAGAAAATCAAAAAATCTTCTTCACGAGTACAAACGAGGGCTGTCCAGACAATTACTTAATGTTTAAACTTTAAAGTCTGTGTTCAATCATCGGGAGTGCCGAATAAGATAGCAATATTGCATGCAATATAATTCTATGTAAGGAATAGGTTGTAACAAAATAACATAACAACAATGGGCAATCACTGATGATAAAATGTGGAATACCGGGGTCCGGGAACTGCTGCGGCTGTCGAGATACCGGATCAGCAAAGTACACACAGGTACGCCAGCATCTCGTGTTATCAATTTCCACACAACATGGCCGCTGCTGTTTTCCAGTGAGCAACAGACAGCCGCCCGAGAACGACGGCTGCCATTTTGCGGTTATCACAAGTTACCGGCATACCTATTAGTTAGTCACGAGACAACGTTGGTGTACGCGCAGTGTTACGGCGGTAACACTGTCAGAAATTCGGGAAATAATAATTAAATTTTCAAACTTCGTTTTAACGTATTTAATAAAAAAAAAAATAAAACAATACACCATCATCGGTATTTAGTTGAACCTTTATGAAATATTCGTTCTAGGACAAAATAAAAAAGGTAACCATACAGCATACTTAGTATGTAAGGAACAGCAAACACAAATTCAAACTAGGGCATAGTGAAAAAAGTCAATTTTCAAAATTGTATCTATAATACCACATAAAAGTACCGTCTTGGTGTATAGCAACCTATAGTTAAAAAAAAAAAAAATTTCAATACTATAGAAACGAAAAAAAATAATTTCTGTAGGGAATTGAATTTTACAAAATATACGTAGATACATTTTTTTATTTTTAGTATTTTTTAGAAATCGCCAAAAAAAAAAAAATAAATAAAAAAAAAAGTTATTTGGCTTACTCTTTATTATTCGCGATTGTGATTAATCAAATCTATTACCGAAATCGTTTCAAAAAGTTTTAATTGTGTATTTACCCTATATATGATTGAATTTTCTAAGGTGAACATGTCTCTTTCGTATCACATATTGTGTATAAAATAAGTCACAAATTTGAGGTGTATACAAAAAGTTAATCACCAAGCGTAACTAACAGTGACGGTTTTGGGCGTGAGGCAAGTAAGGCACCTGTAAATTTCCTCGCCTGTAATTTTTAAAAAATAAACAAGGTTTTTTTTATAAAAGTTCTATTTTAAATACGTATTTAAAAATATAACGGATGAGCTATGTAAATCCCTTACATAAATTGTTGAGAAATTGTTTTTAATCCAACTCGACGCATAATGGAGTTCCACTGGATTTAAAATGGGTAGGTTTTCTTACCAAAAAAAGCTGATACAGAGGCCAATATTTATTTTTTAAAAGCAGCACAGTGGGAGGGGTTGGAGCATTGTGATAGCGGAACATGTTGGGTAGGAGAGGTCACAGGCCTTCAGAAATTATTATAAATTAATTATTAAGGATGTTCTCTATTAATATAAAATGTGTAAATACAATTTGTTTCATTAATTTAAATATGAAATTAAAAAAAAAATTACAGCCTTAAACAATAAACAAAATTGAGCAATAATTGCTTTTAGATATACAGATAGAAACTATAATATAAATAAATGTACATAGAGGAAAAATAGTATTGTTAATTTTCAAGCAAAATTATAATATTATGTCAATAGTCAATATTATTATACAATACGACTTAAAAATATTTCAAGCAACATATCTCTGAAAACTTTGATGATTTGACATTACCGATGTCTGGATGCTATTAGGAATAGTGCACAATTTCAGAAAGTAGAAAGTCATCATGTTAATGGATAAAATTACAAGGGCGAGGCATATTGATATAATATAATGTTTGTGAAAGATGTAGAGAACGGGAGTAAAAAAGCGTTAGGAGTTGAATGAATTAAAGCAGCGAAAAGAGACATTGAAGAAACATGACTTCGGAAAATAGGTATGTCTAAAACAGAAAAATTTGACTGTTTTTCAGAATAAGATACATTAACTGTTCATTTGGAGAGCAAGTGGCAAATATAGTAAAGAAATTAAGTGTATTTTGGAATTCGGAATCAGTTATGATAGTGAATAGAGGAATTGAAGAAGACAGTACAGTTGAAATAACAATATCGGGTAGGTTTGTCAAGAATGACTGGGCTAGATAGAACTAGGAGGGATCGTATAAGAAGTGCTTCAAGAAAATATCTAATGAATTATTAGTCAGACACTTTTATACAATCTATTATATAAACTATGTATAATTATTGTATAAAATGTAAATTCCAAGCGGTTTTCAAACAGCTTGTATTTCTTCCCGTATAGCTTCAGCCAATAAAGATATTCCCTGAAATAAAAAGACACGTATAAGTAAGCACAATAGTTCGATAACGGAAGGGTTAGCTATAGCTTATAGGCAAGGGTGCATAACGTAAATTATACACACCCGGTCTACGTCTTCGTGGGATGCGATGGAAAACGAAACTCGGATGTAAGGCGATGGCTTCTTCGGATCGATCGCCAAAGCATAACCAGGTGCAAGAATAACATTTTTCTCCAAACATCTTGCAGTGACTAGGCATCTGGTGTCTTTCAGGCCGATTACTTTTAGCCACAGGAACATTCCTCCGCAAGGCACATACCATTCGGCTAGACCTACATCGTGTACGGTAAAAATATATAGAGCTGTAACATCGTATAATGCCTTGTAGTCGGCAACGAAGTAATCAAGAGGGCGAGCGACAGCGTGACCACTTTAAATACAAATAGACAATTTTTTTAAAAAGTCGTATCTCGCGTTCTACAAACGACTGTTGCACACCCTGCGTGTCCCTTCTTTCCCGTGTCTATGTAAGTCATATATGTGTTTGTAGTACATGGTCGCTGTAGTGAAACAAATTTCAAAAAAAAATATATGTACCAAAGAAATGTAATTTCATCATTCTGGTCACACTGCAGCTGGTCTTTTCGCTTTATTCATAACATTGTACTTATTGCCACCCCCTGACCTGTACCGTTGACCAGTGTAAAACACAACATAGTTCAACGGATCACTTACCGCTGAGGTGTTTTTTTACTGCCAGCAGCATGTGATCCCTCTTTTGTTTGTAGAACTTCTTGACTCGCAAGAAGTGCGAGACCAAACCTTCGTTGTCCCAGTGCGATAGCAGTTTATGGACCAATACCTGTGAAAGGGACGACGTGTGCATGGACGAAGTTTGCATGTGCAACTCCATTTGTCGTAGCAACCGGTTGTGTCCTGTGACGAATCCAACGCGCAAACCGGAGCTCATGATTTTTGAAAGCGAATCGAATCTCAGTACTCGACCCTCGGTGTCCATCGACATAAAGCTGGTGGGATGGACCTAGAAAACGTGCAACGGTGTTTTTTTTTTTAACTGTAGCTGTTCAATGGCTTGCAACCAACGTTATGGACAGCTATTGCATTGCCTTACGTTTTCGAAACTCAAATAGTAATAAGGATCGTCTTCGAGTATTAGCAAATTGTATTCACAAGCCAACCTATATATTTCTCGTTTTCTGTTTGTCGGTATTGTAGTGCCGCAGGGATTGCACGCGGTCGGATTGAGATAGATTACCTGTTCAAAACAGAAAATATCACTTTTAGAACTAAAAATGATAACAATATGTATTACACTATGAATTGTGTATTGGTTTGTGTTTTACTTTGGGCATTAATTGATTTTTCTTTTTTCTCGACGCCAAAACTTTTTCCATCTCTTTCACAAGAACTCCCTGCGAGTCTTGTTTGATTCCGATGATTTCCGCGTCATGCAATCTAAACTGGAAATAAAAATTCGATTGAAAAAAATAAATAGCACAGTGGGGTTGGGGAATAGTGGAGACGGGTAGGTCACAGGTCTACGGGAATTATTGTACAACCGAAAGTGATTTGAAATCACTTCTAAAAAAATGCTTCGGTGCGAAATTGTAAATGGTATAAATAATTTTACTGACAATATATGTAAATATATTACCGGTCACTCTGAAATTCAATTTTTCTTCTAAGTTACTATTTTGTATTAAATAAGTAGTACAACTAAAATGCTTAGTAATACTTCAGTGGAAATGTAAATGATTATTCAACTGAAAAACTTACTAAATCAATTGCGCCTGTGTATGTTGGATCTGGCATGATCACTGCATCGCCGCATCTCATACACATATCCACTGCTTTTGACAATCCCTCTTGAGCACCACTGGAGACCATAATACTTTTAACTTTCCAATTTTGTGCTCCATGGTATTGATCTTGAATTTCTTTTAACTTATTTATAAGAGGAGTGTATCTAAGGATAATAATAGTAAAATAAATTAAAATGCCAAACGTACTTCAAAAAGGTGTACCGTGAGAAAGTTTATACAATATTATAAAGGCCGAATTGGGGCTATCAACCAAACTAAGCTTTGTATAAAAGCGAAAATTAAAAAAATTGTGTCCTAATGTTGTTACGTTACACGCACTAAAAAAATGTACAGCTTTTATGGAAATCTGAGAATGATATTCATATTTTATGATGCATTTTTTTTTCTTAAAAAACGATAGCTATTTATGAGATAACTATTTTAATCCGAATTCTTTAATCAATATCTCGATCGATTGCAAATAGTATATAGTATGTGGGTAATTAGTAAGGTCAAAAATAAAAATAAATATTTTTCCTAAAATTTGTAACATTCTGAGAATTTATCAAGAAGGAGTCAAACAATTTTCTGACGTGCGTTTTATCGTTAATTATTTTTTATATAATTTGGTTTTTTGTAATATAGTTTTAGTGAAACGTGTATTCGCCGTATTAATACAAAATTATAAGTGATGGTGTTTTAAAACTTTCACGCTTCTTTTATTAATTAAACAACAAATTACAATCTAATAAAATATCAGTTATGACTCTTTGATCTTAAGAGATCTTGATATGTCAATGTTTTATTACTATAAGCATTCATTATAAATTATATAATTATATTATTAGTTAATAAAAAAATATTATTAATAATTATTATTATTATAATCAATTCTAAAAGTAATAGATAAATCTAAAATTTTACACTAGAAAGGGTTTGCGTTAACTTTCAATAGTTTTTTTTTTTATAATTATATGATTTAATAATGTTAGAGATAATTAGAATATTAGATACTTATTCTACAATTGCAATATATTAAGTTTGATAAAAAAATATTGTTATTTTTTTCATTATTGAAATTAAAGATTAAATAGTAATAATAATTCACTAATGATAACTTACTTGATTAAATTTAATTTTTGTTTACTACATTTTAGATAACAAAATTAGTAATCGACCATTTCCTTTGTCGGTCGAAACTAGTTATATACAAATTTTCTTAGAATGAGATGGGCAAACCTTATATAGCTGCTTCCGTAAAACAACGTTTGAAGTGCAAATTTTGAAAAAGGGTTTTTGCGGTTTTGATGACATGAACAAGTAATTTCCTAATGGTAGATAATTAATAATAGGTACGCTATTCACTACACATTTGTTACGATTGTCTATCTTTGTTAAGCGAATAAAAAATGTTAAAAAAACTTATTTTTCAATTGACGTCCTTTGTAAAATTTAATTATTTGCGGTTAGGTTAGTTTGTCCTTAAGAAGCCGCGATGAACAGTCAACACTGTGTGAAGACGATTCTAATTACCTTAAAAACTTGTATTACGTTGAAAGATATGCAAGTCCCAACGGACTGTTCATGTTATATTTAACAAAAAATAAATAAAATTTGAAAAAAAAACCGTTAATACTTAACCGGAAATACTTAATAACTTATGACTAATAATTTATTACAGTTTACCCATAAGTATGATTTTGTTATTACTTGTTTATTTAGTAAATTATACCGTTATAACTATATTGGTTGTTTCAATATGAATTAAATACTTTTAATGGATTTTTTAAATTATTATTATTTTGGCGTACAACAAAACGGTTTTTTTATAGTTTTTATTCCATAGAAAATGTGCTACAAAGGCCAAATATTATGTTTTCGTAGTCGAATCTAAGATAAAATACATAATATATAAGATTATATATGTATATGTATATATATGGCAATTAGCGTATTTACTTTATCTATTAAATAAACGATAACTTACAATTCTTCAAAATTATTTTTAAAAAAAAAATAATATATATATATTTTAATGCATTTTTTCGACTGCCAACATTTAAAACAATTTTAAAGAATTGATATTTATCGTTTACGTAAGAGATAAAGTAAATATGCTAATTGGTATTTATATATTTATTTATATTATATAATACAATTAGAATATTTAATGCTAACTGGCTATTGTAGTACGTTTTGTATAAAATGATCACACTATATAATAACATAATATCACTATACTATTAATATTACTATAATTTATTTAATAATATTTAATGCTACGTAATTTATCGAAGATTGTAAATTTTATTCCGTGTGATGCAATCTTTTTAGCATGTTGCAGAAGCTAAGAATACAAATGACCTAGTCTTTTGGTAGGGCACAATGGCAGACTGATCTATCTCTCCTAATTCGCCAATAAAGTAAATGGCTATAATATAAATCTCCAGAGTAGGGTAAAAATAGCATTTTTAAAATTTTGAAAGTATCGCAAAATAACCCAAAAATTGTATAATAATAATTTCAGTTTAAAAATTAAGTTTAAATTTTCATAATCGTATTTTAAAGATTACAGATTGCGGATCATCGAAATACTAAGAATTCGTATTTTGCCTAACTATGTAGCTTTTTTAAATTACACATTTTGGGGTATTTTCATACACAAACAATCACAGAATCCTAATGGAATAACTTTATGAAGGGTAGTATGTAGTCCTTAATGTACTTTGCCTCTGCTCTTATTATTTATAAAATACTTACCCAATTGATGGTAAATATTGCAACGCTGCAGCTAGTTCGCCTTCGTTGAGCTTAATAACTTCCCCGGATGCTAGTTCTACGTCGAAACCTTTGAAAGGAAACGTATGTACATTAGGAACACCTACTCCTAATTTTATACTTCCCGGAGGCAATTGGTCAACCAACCTAGCTGCAATGATCAATAATAGTACCCTTTTTAGTATTGAGACATATTCATATTATGATAACTTAGGTTTTCGTAATTGAAAAGCAAAGCGTTGTAGTTTAATTTACAAAATACATTATTTTTTTTTTTTTTTTATTACAGTTTTACATAATTTCTTGGCGTCATAGGTTTTCATAATTTTTATAACTTACACAATTCTCGGAGTTCAGAAGGTTTTCGTTTGGCTGTAGTGTCGTTAAAAAAATAAGTATAGTCAATTTGTTTCGGTTGCAATTTCATAGCAGGCGAATATTCGGGTATCGAACACTCTTTAGCGATAGCCAAAGAACCATCTAGGATCGGACAAACTTGTGATTGAGACATGATCTGAAAATTAGATAAGACTAAATCTAACACCAATCAATAAAATATGTAATATTAACGGCTAACTGATCTGCCGTTAGCGCTGAAGATAACAATGATGTTGCCGAACCACACGATACGCAAAGAATGTATTATTTTATGATATTAATTTCTTTATTATAGTTTATATATAACCATAAGTTGCTAAAGTTTTTTAAATGATTTTCCTAATCAGCAAAAAAAAATATATTTTCGAATTATGATAAAAAAAGTTAGTTAAAAAATGTGTTATCATAAAACATTTCGTTACTAATTTTTTTTTTAATTTAAAAATTCATCAATGGTACTTTTCGGCGATATTTATAATAGTTTTCAATAATGTTTTTTTTTGACAAACTATATAATTTTATTGTTCTTTCAAACATGTTTCAAAGTAGTTTATACTTATTAATTATAAACTTTTTTGATTTATTTAAAAACATGTTTTCCAAATAGTATATATATAACAAACAAAAAGTGTGTTTTATTATTTTTAGTTAATTTTTTTTAAAATTAAGGTTACTTTATGCTACATAACATTTACAAAATATCTCATGTCTTAAATATATTTCAGAAAATGTTGTTAAAACACAATATTAATTATTTAAACTATTAAAAATATGTAAAATAATTGTTGACACTATTGATATCAAATGATAATGTTTTTTAATTTATTTTTAACCACGTCAATAATGTAAAATACATTTTTTAAAAATGTTTTCTTTTAATACCGTTTTAACTTTAAATATATTCTGGTCGTAATATTAATGCATATTACAGTTTTATACTTGCTACGTGGGTCTACATTATTAACTTGATAAATTCACTTAAATCTTAATTAAAAAAATTACAAATTACCTATATCATCAATTGGTTTTCGGTTTTATGTATTTTAAAATGTTATTGTTAAATAATCGAAAATGTATTAAAACAATAAGTGTTCAATGAAGTATAAAAGTAGGTCCACGTAAACACAGCACACGACGATCACAGCAACATTAAAATGTATGAAAAGGTATATTTAATATGTTAGTTTAATTAAAAAATAAGTTTACGTATTTGTTTTGTCAAATTATCAGTTTTTCGGTTACGATGAGAATCGGTGCAACTCCGAAGCGAACACTCAAATGTATTAAACTGTTCTAAAACAACAACACTAACGATTCAAAGAGATGTCCAAATTTATTCTGACGATGGAAGAGGTTAGTGATCTGCTTTATATATATTTAGACGTGTCGATTTGTATGTATTAATACTAATTTTAATACGTTACTAAATATATATTTATATATTATTCAATTAAATATTCATACAGTATATCTATTGAGTTTGATAAGAGGTAATAAGATAATGTGAGTGACCATTAGTCATTTGGTTCTTAGATTAACGTAATTGAGTACCTAGAGTTTATTCAAAACGCAATAATAATAGTATTAGTTATCAGATTTCTAGTAGGCGTAACCTGAGGTGAACGTGGAATGTACAAATTTTATCTGAGTTTTTCAGTCTGTGTCATCCGCGTAAGGTTTCATTTGGTACCTTGAATATTTTAATTACAATTTTCTTGAATATGAAAAAAACAAAAACCCACAAGTCGTTATTTATTTCATGACTTATCAACTAAGTTAAATCAAATAATATTGTATTGATTAAATTACACGTTTAAGTTTCATCACGCCCGTTACTCCGTAGTTAAATACATATTATTATCTTGATGAGCTACTTCATATTAGTGCATTAAAAAAGCCAACACAAAGGGGATGGAGAGATCACAAGTCTTCAAGAACTATTATAACTGAAAGCGATGTCAAATTAACGTTTCGAGGCGAATCTGCATATGGTAGAAGTATTAAATGTCAATTAAACCATTGTAAATGTAAAAATGTGCCTGAAAATATTTTTTTAGTATAAAGGTGGTACTATAAGAGCTGATCATTTTCCTATGATAATTCGTCGCCCATTTTATTCTTCTATCGTTATTAACAGTATAATGAAAATGTTTTTCGGATACCTTTTGACTGTTGATTCATTCATACATGGAAATTTTGCACGTGTGTGATCCCCCTTTCCTTTTTTTTTGAGTTTTTCTTTAATATATATTAAATCTACTTTCAGTTTAGACTTTAGTCGTAAAACTTCGCTTAAAAAAGAGAAATATAGATAGTTTCCACTCCTTCTAAGGAAAAGAGTCTTTTAAATTCGTTTGTTTTGTCAACATATACTATGTAATAATTCAAGTAAAAAATATTCCATACAAATTACTAATTCCACTATTTTTAAAAAAAATTATGGGGCGCCTTGTTTTTAAGTTGATAAAATGTAATTTTTTCCCGTATTTTCCTTAGTTTTGATGAATAAGAGGTGAACTTTTATATTTTTGGATCATTAAAGCGCCATTAAGATACGATTTAGGATCTATAGACTGGCTACAAAATGAGATCTGTTAAGACATTAGTGGTTCAAAATATATCGTGGGTCCAGACACAATAACAAAAATCATGGTAAAATCGGTAATTTCTTAGCCAAGCTAGTGTTAGTCTATTTTTTACGATCTACATTTTTACTTGACTTAAGTATAGCTATAAATTTGTTTTTATTTTTAGACTTTTTTTTTAAATACAACTATTGAGTTAATCTAGATAACGTAATTGTTAAGTTTACTACAACAAATAATAATAACCTTTTAAGTCAGAAGTGACGCGTCCAGTCTTGTTTATCAAGATAATGTGTAATAACATGTTATGACTTACGAGGGGCTTAAATGTCAAGGACCACAGCAAAAAATAAATAGGAAAACAATGTATAATGTAGTGATATGTTATATCTTGAATTATAAGTACCTACTTAATATTTGAATGCAAATATACTACAATTAAACAAAAATCCAGCACAGTGGGGTCGGGGCATAGTGGGGACGGAGATGTTACATGTTTACAGGAATTATTATATTTGAAATTGATAAAATCACTTTTACATAACCCCTTCGATGCGAATCTGTGGACAGTAGGTTCAAACCAGTACAGTTCAAACCAAGCACAGTATAAACCAGCACAGTAAATAAAGTATTATACGAAGAGACTAGTAGTAGCTGTAGTAATAGTAAGTGAGTAAGTAAGGGAGGTCCAATATTCACAGATAAAAATACAAAATTTATCGATAAAAGCATTATTCCTAATGACAATTATGTGCTTAAAAATTGATTTATAGTATTAGGATGAATAGGATTAGGGTTGATCGTCTGTCTATAAAAATGTATTGTCATAGTTACCCATATATCGTAATTAACAATATAATGAAAATATTTTCATTGCTTAGGTACTGACTGTTGATTCACTCACACACAGTACTATGTTTAAATAATATTCTATAGAAATTTGAAACTCATTCAAATATTCTCAGAAAAGTTCTAGAGCATCGTAATTTTAAGTTGAAAAATATGTAAATTTGTTGGTTGATTTTCTCGAGGATTAAGGGGAAGGGGTGATTTTTTTAAACTTTTAGCCCGATAAAGTACCTTTCAAGCACGATTTATGATCTATAAAAATGCTACACGAAGAAATCGGTTCAACGGCTTAAAAGAAATCTTGGGTCCGGACAAAAAAATAAAAAATACACATTGTAAAAACAATATGTTCTCAGCTCCTCATCGAAGCTAAAAAAATAACACAGTTTAGTACTATTTTAAAACAGAACCAAAATACATAATTTTGTTTTTTTAAGGAAAAATTACGTGCTAGAAAAAAATTAAAGCTACATTTGGAATTTGAGAAAAAAATATTTATATTTTGGTTCTTTATACAAAAAATATAAAATTTTGTTATACGTTTTAATTAATCACCTACAAACACACGTATAAAATATATCGAGTTTATACTTACAGTTATTTCCGTACAAGTGCGAGTAGTTTGAGACGATCAACCGTTAAACAATAATCAATGTTTTAATGTTATAAGACAACCATGGTACTTAACATATTATGTTTTTATTGCGTTACAAATGAACACTAAAATAACATATCGCCAGACACGAGTAAACGTATAATATTTCCTACAAAAACCGTTCACTAGATTATAAAATTGAATTTTCAGAATTTTACTAAAAGTGTTTACTCGATTGGCGATAATAATATTTAAGTATGTTAGTTTTTAGAATACAAAATACATTTTCACGATTATACCTACAAAAAGTACCTACCTAATCTAACAAGGAACAACACACGTGGTCTGTCGACAGCAACCATGAACTTTGAAATATATAACACCAGCTTAACATTATAAATCAGGTGTACTCATTTATTACATTTTTATCATTAAAAAGCGTAGATAGTTGTTCAGACAGATTGATGGGTGTTTTATTTTTGCACAACAAAGATGTAGGATCTATTGTATTGGTGATTTTTTTTTGGATAAGTATAATTTGAGTTTGAGGGATTTTTGTTTGGTCGGTTGACGTGGTAACATCAACTAGTAGCACACAGGTCGGTTGATGTAGTATAATATATTAATGTAGTAGTATTGTTCTGTTTAGGAGATCTGTTTTGGCCGGTGTGTTCATTTTATTATAATTGTTCATTCCGGGGAAGTTTAACCGGTCGTTCTTACATGTTGGACATATTACCTGTTTCCCGCCGTGATGAAAGTGCTATCAGAACCTCGGTAAATGCGCTCTCGTGCTTTGATAACAAACGTACTGTACTGTCGGCTGGCAAACACGTACTGCTGGCTCCTGTTCTGCAAGGACAAGTTACAGTGATTAGCTTCAGGTACTCTGATCGTGAACAAACATTTTTTTTAAATTAGTTAATACCGTTTTATAAGAAAAAATATACAAATATTATATATTATTGAAATCAGAGCTTAAATGTAGGTTTTTTAAATATGAACAAAATAACAATTAAAAAAAAACAATGTTTTTTGATAAAAATTATCGTTGGTTTATTATTAAAAACCATAAAAAAAATGTAAAAAAAAAAAGTTGTTCGAGTACTATCTATTTTACGTTATGAACGCATCACAAACCTACTAGGTTTCAACATAACAGGTCGATTCGTTTTGGTAGCATTATCTTGGTCGCAATCCTTGAAGATTTTATTTTGAAAAACTGCTCCTATGATGGCATTAGTTTAGCGTTGGCCTAAAATTATTATAACTTCATTGAGAGTTGTTGCAATCGCTTGATAATTTTTAATAAATGTTTATAATAAAACAACATTTAAAAACATTTTTTTTAATCATCTAATGGACCTTTTCCGGTGCTTTTTATTTTGCTAAAAAAAATGTCTTACAAGAAATAGGATGATGACCCTTGAGTAATCACATTTTGATATATTTTATTTTTGTTTGCAAGAGGAAATATTTCTTACAGACCGCATTCAATTTCGTTTTTAAAAGTACAATTTTAATGCAGCCAAGTGATAGTTTAAAAATTACTAATTTTTTAAAAAATTGTTTTATTCACACTTTGCAACTACAATTAGTCTTAACGGTTACATACTAAATATCTTGATAGTGAATTAGTAATCCAGCTTAATGGTTTATGGTTATGATGTGTAATATTATTAGAAAATTGTGGATGAGAACAAGTTATCTTTAAACAATTCTCCGTATTTTGATCAATTTTTAAAAGTTTTTTTAAACTTATATTTTTATACTACAAATAAAATTGAAGTCTGACTGTAAAAAATTATTCTCTCTCCCCACAAAAAAAAAAAATAATAAAAATCGGATAATTTCTAACTAATTTTATTACTAAAATAGCTATAAATTATACAAAAATATTATACGTTTAAAGTTAAATCCTAAGGCTAATCCAAACTAATCTGAAAAATAAGTTAACGTGCTCCACATGTTTACAGTAGCATGTTTTTTTGACAAATATTGCCGGTTTTTGCAATTTAGTAGATTCTAATATCAATAGTAATTAAAAATTATCTATTTAATACTTACTATACTCTCATAAATATTATGTAAACTCTCTAATATTTTCCATCGTGTATGTTCTATGTTAGGCATACCGCTTGGTTTCGTGTATAATATTATTGTGATAGTTGATATCTTTTGTAACATTTATGTTAACTACACAGCAAGTGATATCGGTTATTATTGTAAAATTATTTATTTGTTTTTAAATGAAAAACGGCATTTTGTACATTGCCTATAACTAACGTGTCATATATCAGTTTCTATTAAAATTGATTATAACATGTGTGAAAATGAAATACTTAACTGTTATTTAGTTTGGTAAGTGAGTTAGTAAAATAGTATACACATACATACATAAATAGTTAATTTTCGATAAAATTATAAAAATAAATCTATATTACACCTACAAATAAATATAACAAATATTGAGCTAACATAATTTTTAACTTGATAAATATTAAGACTTGGACTAGGCACTATGTATATTATTGTAAACATTTATTTTTCAATCGAAATGTAAACGTGATCGAAATCTAAGACTTTTAACAAACAAAAAAACTGATTCATAATATTACCCAATAAAGGCTATAAAAAAACCGGATTTTATTATTTAATTAACGATTTTTTTTACAGCTAGTACATACACGCAAGCTAGATAAGTAAAACCGCTGTGTATATTTAAAAGTGATACCCTAAGAAGAAGGTCGTATCAACACTCAACAGTACTATTTTACAATACACGTGTGTGTACCTATTCCAAAATTGAATTTTCGATTACTCAACTCATTTATTTCCTAATATACACACTTCAGTTTACATTATAGTCTACTGTACAAAGTTGTTAAATTCGTGTAATATTGCATCAGACGAATATTCAACACGAGTTATGTATGTATTTTTATAATATCATTAGTTGTAACACATGGTAAGGAGCCTGGATACATTGCATATTATATGGGGTGTCCACATTCCCCTGATAATCCCCACGTACACAACACATTGTATGAAAAACATAGTGCGTACTTAGGTCAGAACAAAGTTGAACTCTTGTATGGTAAAAACAACTCTATCGCACAAGTCAGTATGTCTAGCTTCCTTGTTCAGCATCTCAATTGATTCATAATTTACATTTACAAAAAATCCATTTATGGCTTACGTTTTTACACTACTATTATTATTATTCTACATTTCATCAAAAAGGTTAAAACCGTGGATCCGTAACTCAATCTCCGATGATAGATTAAATGGGTTTGCTCTATTGTAGATACATAAAAACATTGTTAAAAGGCAATAATAAAAAGTTATTGAAGGGGTTTACAATTATTTTGTAGCACCCAAGGCGCGTATAATTCTTATTTTAACAAAATTAATAAGTTTAACATGTACAAAACTTGCTATGACTTATGAGTATAGAAATATCGAATACGATAACTAAATACACATGAATTATATAAGATAAAACATTTATGTATTTATTAGTAATTGTTACTTTACTATAATATAAACTTACAAATATTAGGCTCTTGTGTAATCTTGTGTTGATTATCTTTTCTTGTAGGGTACCTATGCTATACTATAATAAAGACACTAGAGGTTTACCAAAAGAACTTAATCAAACATTTTACTTTGAATTTTGATCTTGCCCCAGGTGGGATTTTATCCTGCGGGCGCGTTTGCTTTCTCCTAACAACTTATTGATTGCGTCTGATTCAATGTCATGTATTATTTTAGTTCTCATCTATCTGTTCTCACTACGTATGCACTATGCATAAATCGAGTAAACGATAAAATAAGAGATTGTTGTATTGTGTATTATTATTTGTTAAAATATTTGCGCATTTAGCGTGACGCAAATAAAAAACGCTTGCAAAATATTTCACACATTTTCTCAGTTGACCTAAAAAGCCTAAAAACATTATCTTGTTAAAAATGGCGTCTATTGTATTATAACATATTATATTATTTAATGATAATTATTATTTTCATTGGCCATCATTCAAGTACACATTAAAATACAGTTGTCACTTTTTGCACAAGACAGCAGGACCACACTTCATCTTAATCCGGTATTCTTTCACAGTGTCTGGAGAGGTATTTCTTTTGACTATTCGAGTCCACTTATTTGTATATTTTTTACATGTAAATAGTTATGACTTATATTACATAGGGTCTACACTAGATTATCTATGTCTAGTATATACCTATTAATACTTGGGTACCTATGTAGTATTATTATAAAATACCTACTGCGCAACAGCTAACAAAGGATAGATATTATGTCGACGACCGACGGGTCATTATTATTGAATGAAAATGTCTAATCTTTCCGAATAGAATTTATTGGATTGCCGTTAAATTAATTGTACTTTGCTACACTTATTTAATCAACGAGGTTTTTTTAAAATTTATTTAATAGTATGTCCTTAGCTCTTGCGTGATGAACTTTGTATTTGTTTTCAACGCGGTTCTTTATTCCAAACGGGCTTACGCTTTTATCTTAAGTTAACCTATTATCCCAAGTGTGATTTAAATACACATGATATTTCGTAATGCCCGTAGACCACTTGAGAGAGTATTGTCTATGTTCGTTTTTAAAATTAAACTATTAATTATTATCAATCGGATAAAATTTAGTATATTATATTAATATATTATTGTTAACATATTACAAAGTATAACATCAGAGTGTGATGAAATATATAAAAATGTGTACATATACGATTTTAACGTTTTCTTCAGAGATTTTTTTTTTTGTAAAAAGCGTTTGAAAAAAGTCGGCTAATTTTTACAAATTAAATGTATTTTTGTCGCCATCGCAAAAATGTATAATAATGAAGGCAGATTATTAGAGAATTAATTCCAGAATGGAAAACAATAATTACAATACGCTCTTTATTATTTTCAAAATCTACAAATCACACTTCCACTACTGTCAGAAGAATGACGTAATGCTGTATACATTTCATTACATTGAGTATACAACAATACAAATTACTATTATAACAGTTCTAATTAACTTAGTTGTTACAATACATTTAAGTATAATATTAAATTTAACATATTATTTCCCTAATAATAGTTTTATATACATCTATTACTGTTTTGAAGGTAAATATAATATTATCATACAATGTATAGATAAGTGCGTTAACGGGTTAACAAAACAATAACAACTTGATTTTTCCAAAATTATTTCACATATTGTATTGCAAAACTATGCAAATGTTTATCACATATCTATAATTTGATTTGTTTAAAAATAAAAAATATATTAGACAAAAAAAAATCATATTCACTTCGCACTTTGGCACACATTATAAATTATCTATTCAATTATAAATTTATTAATAACAGATGTAGAGTTTGTAAGAATACTCATTAGCCACTTGGCTTATTAAAATAGAGCTAATGACTTATACGAAAAACTGTTTGAATTTTTAATAACGATTGTCACTTTTTAATTTTACCTTATTATAAAAAGTGTAGTTTTACTTAGTAAAACTTAAAGTTTTAGAACTTTATGAATTTTTAAGGGTTTCCACTTTATTTTTCCTGAACATTTGCTTGGGCCCGTTTTCTATTAAACCACACTAACTATTGTTGTAACTACTGTCTACTAGTAATCTTTTTATAACATAAATAAACATAAAAACAAATTCTCTCACAAAAACTTAATAAGCACTTAACCTATAAACTCAACAACAATTTCTGTTTAGATGTATGCAAATGTATAAAAAAAAAACTTAACCCCGACATTTTTCATATATAATTATGTTTTTTTACAATTAAACACTGTGTATTTACTTTAAGTACGCATTATAAGTTTTGATTTTTTAAGTATTTTACAAAGATTTTTTATGTTATTTAACATAACAAAAAATAATTTTAGTGGTCAAGCCCCAATTGAAAAAAAAATTTTTATTTTAGGTCATTATGATTAAAATTTAAAAACTGATATAAAAAACAAAAGTTTTAGGATATATTATTCAGTAAACATTGACCGCGGATGCAGATTGGTTAACAGCCTTGGTAACGTTTAATACACAATTGTTTTCCCAGATTACATCAGCCATTAGATAGCAGCGTGAGGTTATATTTTTGCAAGTGAACTGAACTCGCTTAGAGTTTAATATAAGAAATCAAAAACAGTAACCTTTAGTTGTATTGTTTAAAAGATTCCCTGTAGTCGTATCATATGATTCAGATTAAGACGTATGTATCTTATCTGTTTATTTTACTATATAAAATCAAATTAAAAACACTAGTATATTGCTCATAACTTTCACATAAGTATATGTCGACAGTAGTTTTTTTTTAATGTACAATAAATACATCATAATTAACAATACATCAAACTGGAAGGTAAATATCTTAAATTTGATTGGTACACAAAACTTAGAGTTCGCGCTGAAATTTGTTTTTTACTTGATAAAATTATTTATACATCACCGTGGAGATATTATCTATTGATTTCTGGTACATGATATACAAACACACACACACACAAACCGCTTTATATATTTTTAATGAGTGTATATATTATACACTTAAACTAATAATATTCAAAACACATGATATAAATCAACTTGTTCAATAACAAAAACGGCGCCCCTATGCAGGCGCTTTTCTACTAATGTCTAACAATAGCAATATATGCATTTACATAATAATAATATAATATAATAATATAGTATAACATGATAATAATATAATTTACTCTATAAACTATATACTTAGCACAATATATACCCGACGTAATATTGTTGTACAAATAATCATATGATTATAATAAACGGTTAGGCTATGTTATAAATGAACCCTGTTCCCGTGATAAATTATCTCGGTAGAATTGAATTCGTTAAAACGACTGCATTCTATAAATATTATGATTCTCATATGGACGAGAGATAATCGACCACGGGATGATTGGTAAAAATCATGTGACTTATAACGAAACACGAAAATTGCCTACAATAACAATATAACGGCGGAACGAAGAAAATATAAATTATTCAAACGGAGTTGTGCAAATTCTTATTCGAATAATAATTATCCGAAAAAAAATGTATTAGAATGAAAATGTTTATTACCATATTACTGGTTTCGTGTATTTTGTAAATGTAGTATAAAATATTATATTTATACGAAATAATGTTTTCAAATAAAGTACTTACAAACTATTTAAATTATAAGTTTGAAAATTATTCGAATGATGCACAACTCTGTAAATTAATCGTTAAGTCCTTCGCGGAGACAACGGAGTTGCCGATACATTCTAAGCCAAAAAAACAATTTTACACTCAACGGGTCGTTTGCAATGTTTATTTATAAAATGAACAATAAATTGTATTATATATATATATATATATATTTTGAGGATAGATTTTGAAGAACGATTTTGTATAATTATTAAAACCCAACACGTAGAATTGAATATTTTCAGAAAAACCGCATCATAACCTACGAAATTGACAAGTTTTAATAGATCACATGACCTTCCCAGAAGAGGATTTATGTCAAATTTTAACGTGGGAGAAAATTAAGAAATTTGGAAAATATTCAGCTGGTAATAATTATCCGGAATGGTATTGAATGGGATATGTCTTAAGTGAAGTTATTTAACCAAGAACGCTGTTCCATCGAACCAGTATTTTTATAGGAAATTAATTGGTTTGTGGAATACTAATTTATCTTGGACGGTAATATATTTGAAATAATATACTTGGAATGACAATATTTTGCAATTGTGTGCACTTCGAAGTTATTACGTAGGAAAATAATTGTTGATAGCAATTTATAATTAAAAAACATTAAAATTACTTATTTTGTAAAAACATAAAAAATAAAATACAACAAAATATTTGCTTGGAATAGAGTAGAGATAAAGTAATGTAATGTAAAATATATATATCTAATATCATCATAATTGAAATATAAAATTACTGTATACTATTACTTGTATAACATATTCCAACTTATTATTATTCTGAATAGCATATTGAACTAGTAACATTAGAAGGTTGAACTTAAGAACATTAAAATGAAATATTGTTCGCATCTAATTATTAATTTTGGCTTAATACTTTCTCAATTTTTATAGTTGCCAATTCCATTAGAACATTATTTTTAAGCGATATCTTATTCAGATAATTTTTTTCCCAATTTAATATTGTACAGGACAACGTAGGTAATGAATATAATTACATTTTAACTATTCAAAATCAATGTTATTCCGAGTATTTTTTTTCTATCAAAACATATACCAAATAAATCGTGTTTTGACATAGTATTATGTAAATCACTTGCCAATAAACAGGTTATTTTAAAAACTACATTCCAACAGAATTTTGTTATTTTTAAAAAGGAATTCGGTGATTATGTATTCCAATCGTGTACGTTCTGAATCAATAAAATCAAAATTATTTTACGCCTCCCGCATCAATGGCCCCACAATAAGTTGATCGAGCTTTAAGTCCCCCTTAAGTACAAGTAACAATTGGTTTGTTGGTTTATTGACAAAAAAAATACAGATAAACCGATCGGTGTATGCCAATGTTTGACCACGAGTTGATGGTTGACAAGTCGATGATCGAGATGTATTAACCGATCAGTTCGACGATGAAGAAAAATATGTATACAATAAAATAAGTGTCCGCCATGATTTGTCTGTACTTAAAGACGTGTGTTATTGGTACGTGCTTTCAGACTTTTTAAAAAGTCCAAACTTCCACAGCCCCCCTCCAAATGTGCCTCTGGCCAACATGGTCTAGAACAAGTCTACGTCAAACTAAAATATTACCAAAACTTGGCATTTGTCAACAAATCGACAAACCGTTCGTTAGTGTACTGGGAGTTATAGGCCATTTGTAAAATTGCCGTTTACTTTTACGGTAACGGCGCGGCTCGTTTTATCGATATTTTCTTTATCATGTCTTGGGATCGAACAGTGTTTTTAATAGGTGTACGTTTAACATTCTTAAAGTGGTAACCCTGATTGCGCGTCGGCCGGTTAGGGCCAGCGACACGCGAGTTTTTAAAAACAGCTTATAACCTAGAACAACGTTTCTTTGGACGCGTCGTAGAGCGCGCGTAGAGACCCTGACAAAGAGTTGGCGTTGACGATTGTGTCTGCGATCGGATGGACGTCGGCCTGCACGAAGATGACGTTCTTACCGGCCGCGACCGCGTTGGACGTCGCGGCCGACTGTGCCCTGTGGAAATCCCGGAACGACCGCCGGCTGCCGTCCGTGTCGTCCGACGGCCGGTGGCCGCGACCCGTCCGGCTGCCGGCCGTGGACGACGGAAACCTACCCCTGGCATACCCGCGCGACCGACCCAACAGCGCGCTGCTCTCCGACGGCGTCTCGTCCAGCCCAATGTAGACGCCGCAATCGCCGCCGCCGCCGCCGGCAAAAGCGGTGACGCGCAATTAGTGCAGTCGTCGGCGAACACGGACGAGTCGACAGTGGTGCCGGTGGACGTGTCGTCCTCGCTGCAGCTGCTGCACGACGTCCGGATGGACGCTATTGGAGCCGTGGCCGACGTCAGCGGGTCACGGGTCCGGCGTCTGCCGGCTCGGGCGGCCAACAGTTGCTGCGTGTGATGGGGCACGTCCGAGAAACTGTCTTGGCTGCCGCTGGGCGTCAGGCACGGCGTTGGCTGAATCACCTGCGAAACACAATAATTTTTTCACAGTGATGGCGCAGATAAAATAGAACCAGCGTAGTGCACTCTAAAAAAATCGAAAAAAATATAAACAAACTTCAATAATTTCGGGTCAGTTTGACCTCCGTTAATCGCTCAAATTATATAATAAACTAGATTGCTAACTGCTGTGATAAGAATGGAAATCGACATCGGTCATTTTTTCGGGATAAAATAATTTATACATATACACCTGTGATTTTGTGCTATCAGTTAAACTTTAAATTTGTATAAGCAGTAATAACAGTTATAAACATGGGATAAGGTTTTAATTCCCATAAAGTTGGCGGAAAATGGTAACTTCAATTATGACTATTGGCGGCCTGTACTCATAGAAATCTAATTTATTATGTATATCTGTGGTTAGTCGACTATGTGTAATCAGTAATCCTTATCAGTTAAAGTTGTTATTGTAAATACTAAATAGTGTGTACAATATTTTCGGCACTATAATTTTGCTCTACTGAGTTAAGTTTAAACCAATCAAAAATCATTATTTGAAGATCTATTGTTTTACTAGGGAGTGCACTATCTGGTTTTATTTAATCTGTAGTGATGGGTTCCCTAATAGGGCCAAATTTTTTGTTTACAAATTAACATTAACGGCCGCGAGCACATTGCGGACGGATAGGTCACAAGTCTTTAGGAATTATTGATAACATCAGTTTCAACATTTTAATGCTGAGATGATAAGCACTTTCCATATAAATTATTTTATTCTCGGTTTTTAAAAGAGAAAGAGTAAACTTTTTAAATATTTGGCTAAAGCAAGTACTATAAAGGTACAATTTCTGATCAATAGAATTGCAACATAAAGAAATCGGTCAAGCGGTCATATCGTAAGTTAGGCCAGTCACACCCATAAAAAAAAAAATAAAACCAAATATTTGTAAAAACAATACTTTCTCAGCTCCGAATTGAAGCTAATATTATAATTGTTTGAGAATAATGTGTTATTTGTTGAAATGCACGTCTTTTATTCAGCGCATCAAATATTTTTTTATTTGAAACAAATTTGTACTTGAAATACATTTTTATTTACTGTTTCAATTGATACATTATTTGAGTTCATTTATTATTTAGAATTTCAAATAGTATTTTTATTTAAATAATGCCCGAGTCTGTTGGGAAATACCCCGCTCTTCGAGCACAACAAAATTGCAAGTTATCTTTGCGTTCCAATGACGGTTTAAAAAGTTCTAAAACTGTCAAGGAAATACAACGGGGACTTTCTGAACAATTTTAAGCTATCATAATTAATGAGCAACAACTGAACTGCGAGTAGCTTGCTTAATTTTTGTGTTAAAAATGTATCAAATTGAAAAACAAATATTAAAACTCGAGTTGGCAAATAAATCTTGGGTAACTTAACTCGATATATACCCACGAATATTTACCTACCTGTTGTTTAGGTTAGGGAATACACGGTCGGCTAACATTAGTCACACAAACAATCTCCAACGTTTAAAAGCAAAAAAAAATGAATTATTTTTTTATTTATATTAAGATTTTATAAGTAGTGTAGAATAAAAGTTCATAATATGTGGAGCACTTTTTCTGTACCAAGTAACATATATTGTACTGAAAGATATGCCCAACTATTTGATATTATTATAAAAGTATATTTTTTTCGGAGCACCGAGAAGTTAGACCGAAGATTAGCTGACAAGGGATGATTTAATGACAAGTAAGAATCAGCTGACAAGGGAGGATTATTTATAACAGAGAAACATACACATATGATGAGGGAGGATCGGCTGATAAAAGTAAAGAGAGAAGTACAGTTTTGTATAAAACTTGAGGTTTGCAATAAGGCGATACTACATTTTCTGTCAATATAGTTGGAAGAAGTACACTTAAAGTAGCTTGAAGAATTATTGCTATAACGTGATACGAGGAAGGATATAATTACTGACCTGTATATCGATGGGATAGTAAAACTCCCACGGTGGATCTCCGGTGGATGATGGATGATTTAAAGGCGACGGTGGGTGACCCACTACTAATGACGACCCTCTAGCCTCCAAGTAGCTGGTATCATTACTGCTGACTGTGATTGCGCTATTACCCCTTGATATAACATTTTTTTCATCTGGCACTTCTAACCACTTGGCTATCCGGTAACCATTAGTTCTTCTGAGATCTTCCATTTCTTCATCTTCATCCTTTCATTCAATCAGGATTGTTATTAGACTTGTTATAATTAACTATTCCCACATAGTGAAAATTGTGCCAAATTAAAAATAGACCAATATAAACATTGTAAGATAAGTTAATGAAACGTTAGTTGACTTTCTGGACGTCATTTTACGCGATTGATACATAATGACTTGTTGAAACCCCAATTGTTAGCAAGTGTTAACGTAGTGGTGTGTAATGGTTTAGGGACAACCGAATTGATGGAGTTGACAGTCAATTCTAATAACTGAGTGTATGGTTAGTATGAAACAGGGCTGGAAATTAGCAGCCAATGTAACAGAAGCGAATAGCGATACTAGATAATCGACAGATATCACTCAAGTACTATGTAGAGAATCTGGTGTCAGGGTGATGATCAAAAAACGTAAAATCTTTCCCTTGAACGATAGCCCCAAAAAAATAAGTGGATCAGGGCTTCGTTTTATGATTAACTGATTTTCCTTGTTTTTAGATTTCATAAATACATCTTCCCTACTCTATTTGTCAGTGTATCTAGGGTATACACTGACAAATAAGTAGACAGACTGACGGCACGAAGGTAACGATGGACGGATGGACGGCCAGACAAAAAAACGTTTTCAATATTTTCCTTGAAGGAAACACATAGAGTGAGATGCATGAGTTTTGTGGTCAGTTGATTTTTCTTATGGGCTTATGTTCCAGGAATGATAAATTTTCAATAACACGGTATATTATTGTTGAAAACTTACCTCTTCAAATGAGTATTCCAATACCGGTGACTTCATAAACCTGTCGTTTCTTATCTGGTTGGCTGCTGTGTACGGATGGTATTGAGTTTCCGAAAGGTAAGCTCTAGATTTGCGATTCCAGTTATTGCAATCGACCGTAGATGCGTTTTCAGGGATGCTGTACCCTGAATGAAATCCCAAAAAACAAGTCCACCGTTTAGCGTGGTGAAATAAAATAGAAAGTTTATTATTTTTTTGTTTTACAAATCTTACTCCGAGAACACCGGCAGATACCGTGGCCGGAACAATAACTGGAACTGGAACTTCTCTTAGCAAGAGCGACCAGCTGTTCCTCTTGGTCCACCGCCGCCTTGATGACGGCCTCGAGGTGCTGATCGGAGAGTGACCGAGTTTTACATTTGCTTTTGTACAGTACCAACAAGACCATCATCAGAAAGAATCCGCCTAACGTCGAGGCAATTCTCACCTACACAACAACATTGAGCACGTTTAGCGTTTTTCAGCAATTACACATTTTTTTTTCACTCTGTCGGATTAACTAATCACTATACTCTATCCCGTGTAAGAACATGTCTTATATGGGACAGCGTATAGTTAACACTAGTTACTAGTGTGCGGATTAATCGACGTTCACACTCTTACTCCGGTCATAACGTCGTATGTCCTGTAGAATTCGGCTCTTATCATTTCTCTTTTTATCAAGATGTCTGATTTTGTGGAATTGTTAGCGTCGCCGGCGCTCTCTCCCATCGCTTGGGGGCTGTACCCCGCTCTGACATACAATTACTTTCATGTCATTTCTATCGATAGCTCTGCAAATGAAAACGTTAAAAATAAATAATTATTACAAGTTAATGCATATTAAGATGACAAAATTGAAGTCTAGCGTCAACGTGCTGAGTTACAATAAAAAAAAATCTGATGACTCGATTATCATGTGTATATAAATATCATGACAAAATTTCGGCAAAGTTGTTCCCGTTTAAGTAAAAAAGTAGAAATCGAACAGAAATAACTCAGGATTAAACTAATCAATATTTACAACATAAATCGGATTTTATTTGGTTAGTTTTACTCAATTGTACGTGAACTGTATTGGAAACGTTTTAATAAGCTTTAATAATTTTTTTTCTGTTGTATGCGAAATAACACCGTGAGAAAAATTGAAAAATTATAAATTAAATAAACCAACCCGTGTACTCACTAAAACGGTTGTTTTCTACTGCTAAAAGTTGTATATACCTTAGTGTAGTGAAATTGCCTACACTATGTGCCGCGTTGTTTAAAAATAATTAAACGTTCTTTAATAAATCCGTAAAACCAATGTTTAACTATAATATTACTATGAATTTTAATATACATATACGTTTTTTTTTACAATGGATTTTTTTCTCCTCATAAGAATGACTAATATAAAATAAAATAGTCCGCCTTTATACAGTGACTTTTTCTCGCACAGTATTGATCTTTTTTGACAAAAAAAGCCGCCTAAAGCCATCGCCGCACTCCATTCGAAAACTGCAAGCACTTTATCACAACTTGTGCGCTTGCAGATGTTTACTCGAAGGATAAACACAATTAAATAAACATGGAAACAGTTTCGGCGCGCATCCTGAACGTTCATAATAACTGTCAACCGAGAAACGCAATTTATCAGTCTCAAAATGTTCTGTCAGCGGCCATTTAACATATTATTGCTACAGACCTAACTCCTAATGTACAATGCGATAACCGTATGTACGTAACAACGACTTTTTGTACTTGAAATTTAATCCTAATTGCCCAAATTGCAAAATTTTCGACGGTAAAAACTAAAATTATACATCTTTACCAGTTCCGATTAAAACGTTCCAACGACTTAGAAATTTAAAAAAATAATGAAAGGTTTTGCAGAAAAGCTACCGCAAGGTTCGTGGGATTTATGATGTATAGTAAAAATATGAATTAAAAGTTTCATACGGTTAACGACTAAAAAAACTAGTTGAAATATTTATTTCATATTTTGTCTGGATAAAGTATAATTTCAATTTTGTAACAAGTACAAAAAAAATATTTTTTCATCCAGCCGAGACAAGTTCAACAAAACTCACTCCAGATTTCCAGGACCTTAAGATATCTAAGAATTTGTAACAGGCTTTTGATAATCGAAGGCATATTATTTGGTTGTTTAGGATAAGGCGTCCATTAGCGATTTCCCGTCCTAAGCCCATAAGCCGATTTATTTTGTACATACTCGTATATAATAATGTTTGACATTTTTATTTACACCAAAGTCGTTCCAAAAAGTGCAATGAAAGTAATTTGCCGAATACACTTAAGTATTTCAAGCTATACTCAACCGAAAACATCGTCTCGTTTTTTAAGCGCATTTGTACCCACAACGAAGAACCTTTTAATGTATTATGCATAAGACTTAATACAAATACTCGAATACTGTGAGTCTGTTAAACGAACTTGTGTTCGAATGTATCAATAATAATTTAATAGGTATTTGCATTTATCGGTATATTAAACCAATATATATATATAATTCGTTATAAAATGCATTTATAGTATAATATATATGTATATCGTTTATAATGATTACATTATACGGTAAAAAAAAAATATATATGTATATAAATTCTATTATTTGTTAAAGTACAAATGTTGCAGTTTGTTATGCAATCATACTTTTATAGTATTGTAGTGTGATTTGTTTTAATAGATTTCCGTTGTTTTATCAATAGACATTGACAATTTTACATAATATCAGAAATATATATTTGTTTAAAAGTGCACACGCTATTTTTAGAATAAACCCAAGTAGAACTTAACCAAGTAAAAAAATTCAAAATATAAAACAGTAAAAAATTTCGAGTGAACATGTACATATTTATAGTTAATATATTATGTTACTTTGTATTACTATACAATAGCGACAATTGGACATGCAAGTTTGTTGTCAACGGTAGTACTAATAGAAATCAATTATTTAAATTAATTTTTTTATATTTAGTTACTTCTTTAATTTTTAGACATTTATAAAAAAATATAATGCATAGTGTTGTGCGCTTTATGGTCAGTGTTATAGGTGAGTTATACAACTAAAATGGTAATGTAATTTTGTACTATATTGTTTTTTTTTTTAGATTTAGACACTATCAAGTGAACAAATCTAATAGTATTTTAAATTTCACAAAATAATAAACTATTTGATTTAAATAATAACTGCGTTCACGCGATATGGCAAACGCCAGCGTTATGAAATAATATTTAACTTGTCGTGTATATACATTATTATGAAAATTGTTTGTTATTGTTACTACTGTTATTTACTTAATTAACTATATATATTAGGGATAGCAATTGACATTCGTCTGCATAATATTTTCTGGTTGAGGGCTTTCAAAAATATTTACTTAAATGCAAAATCCTGTGAAATGTTTATAAATGGATTTCAAGTAAACTTTTTGTATAATAATATTATAAACTATAAGTTTATTATACAGGCAAACTTATCATAGGGTTAATAGCCGCAAGTTGTTGACGCATTGAGACAATTCAAATTAAAAAAGTATAAAATTATTAAAAAAAAAAATCTGCACACACACACACTAGTTACCATTAGTCTGATTTTCTGACCCCTAGTGCAAAAAACTACCCCCAAAACAAAACTTTGAAAGTAACTTTACAAAACAAAATTTCCCTACAAAATACTTTTAAGTGTTAATAGATATTTAATGTTAGTGCCTTGACTTCTAAGTCTTAATTAAACCAATAAATCGACTCTTGTTGTAAAAATACTGTTTGAACCTATGGTTGAAAACAATACAGTTTTGTATACAGGATGATGTGAGACACTCATTTTCTCGAAAAATACGAGTATTTTACAAATTATTTCCCCCCATACTTGTAGGTACATGTTTTACTATATTTTTCAGTATATAGAAAATTGTTACCTTCGTCCTTTGTACGTAAAAGATGTATGGACTTTGTTTTTTAAATGAAATATATTTTGTTAATTCTATACATTTGTGTAGACAGAAATATTGAAAAACGTTAGTGTTTGAATTTTCAATTTTCATAAATCTGTTGGTTTTTATGTAATAACTGTAAAGGTTTTAATTTAGGATCAATATTCGGTGATTTTTCACAACTGTAGCACAGCAATTTTCCATTAAATAATATTGACCCCCGTCGATAACACAAGTCACAATCACTGTGTTTGAATAAGAATCACTTGTCTATCATTATCTCAAAACATTTCATTGTGCCTAGTTACCTTTGTTAATTTTTTTTAGTATTCTAAATATTATAAAAATTCTATTATGTAAATAAAATTAATTGCCATAATATTGTACTTGTTCGTTAATTATGATTTATACTGCCGAAACAATAATTATACCTTACAAATTAGTGTAGCCTAGATTTTTAGTTTAGATTTTTCTAAAAAAACTAAACTAAACTAATAGAATATTAAACATCATTGAAACCATCATAATGGTATAAGCATTTAATTTCGTTTAGGTATATTATTATTAACCACCAAACACGTTGAACAAACACGTGATGACCTTTTCGTTTGCATACAATGTTTGACGTTTTTGTCTACGTCTGACGATGATACCAAATCAGTAATCACTAAACCTATATGTTTATTACACATTGTATTATTTTAATTAGATGTTGTTTATTAACTTATTGTTGGCATTGATAAGATCAACATAATCTACTTTCGTACAAAACCGATGTAGATTTGGATTTACAAAGTTCCATGGAAACGACGAGTCTGCTAGTTTTTAAATACACAGGATAATAAAGTGACTACAGTTGTACAGAATATAGATATTAGTATAAATTTATTAGATATTAGTAAAAAAATAACTGATATTGATATATACAACACCGGTTTGCGCATAAAACCTTTTGGACAATTTTTAATAATATTTTGAGGTAGATGAAATTATATATTTTTTCCCAGTTAATTTAGGGCAGGTGCTGCACAGAGACTCGGGAGAACTAAAAAAGTCTAAGGGGACGTAGCAAGTAAAATAAAGTGATAAAGTTGATTGAAGTTATTAAAGAAGACATGGAAGTATCAAGTATGTCAAGTGCACAGGATAGATGCAGTGTAGACGATTGGAAGGGCTAACCTCATTCGTGTGAGAATAAAGCGAAGAATAAGAGACTCCGAAGGTTATAACGTTATATAGACAACTTTATTTTTAGAAAAAAAACTACTAATAAATAGGTTTTATTACTGCGTACTAGCGTCTATTGGTCATAACATTTGTTTGATTATAAGATATAGAAAGTACAGCGCGGTAACGCATTTAAATAATACCTATTATCGAACATATTATGGCTTCCATAAATGTGTAGATAATAATAAAAAACTTAAGATACTTGATTTGTGGTTGTCTGTTTCCAATAATAACGAGTAAAATTATTGTTTGTCCTAGTTACCCAAGATGTGTAATAACTAATAACGAATAATGCCCAATTCTAAGAAATAAAAGCACTTTTTTTAGTAATTGAATAATTATTTTTATCATTTTTTTCATTCGAATAGCTTTATTAAAAAAAAAGGTTATTTGTAATTTATTCCAATAACAGTTTATTCAAATAGTGTTTATTGAAAATTAACGAATAAAATATTATCATTTATTTATTTTAAATTAATACGATATTCGATTTGTTTCAGTTATTATTCGTTATTTAATTACATTAAAAAAAGACTAAGGCCTAGTAATCTCAATTTAACGGATATTAAAAAATATATATTATCAGTTTATGTAAACATGTACACTTATTAACCTACACTACTTTA